ATTTTAGTTTTTTCCTACTCCTTCGAATTTTTATAAAATAAATCTTCTTGTTGGATGTGAGTAAACAAGTATGAAAATACCAAAATATGAGTCTTAAGTTTTTTAAACCAAAAATAGGAGTATATTATAAATGTGGTGTAAGAATACGTGTTGGCAGTCTCAGGAAAAGTTAATGACAGTGTAGTAGTAGTATATGACTGTAATTGGTCAATGCCGGCCATCCACAGCGGCACTCTTGTGGCTAGCGGCAACACATGGAAATGTGTGTGGTAGTCACTGCTACAAAAAAGACTTTTTAAATTGGTTATTTTTATCCTTTTAAATCGGTTTTGAACCAATGCAAAAGCCAGCGACGCAAATACTCAAGTTACTTTTTGCATCGATGTTAAAACCGATGCAAAAACTTCTTCCCAGAATTGGCGCCAATTCTGGGAAGGAGCATTTGCATCGGTTATTTGGAAATAACGATGCAAATGCTTCATCCCAGAATTGGCACTAATTCTGGGAAGAAGCTTTTCAATCGGTTATTTGGTAATAACCGATGCAAAAGCCATTTTCCCATTTTCAGAAGAGGCTTTTGCATCGGTGGTAATAACCGATGTAAAAGAGAATTTTTTTCAAAAGGTTTATTTTGTTTGCTTCCAATTCACTACATTTTCAATTTTGCACAGAATTCTGTGCAAAATATACTGGTTCAAGAACAACAATTCAACCCATGAACACAACAACTAACACAAACCAACAACGAATAGAAATACATTCACAAAACCCAAATGCTACAAAACAAATAAAACCAAAAAAATAAACATTTGCATCCATCACTACTTGTACATCTTAAAAAATATCAACATTTACAAACTAAGTTTTAACACCACAACTAAGAGTCAAACAACTACACTCTTCTAACATATAACTAATACTATACAATAATACAATACAAAACTTACACTAGTTCATCGAGAAAATCCCCCGCCCAAAACTCTCTAACCTCTTCTAATTTGCCTCTAGTATAAGGCGAAGTAGACTTAAACAATTGCAATACAAAAACAACAACATAAAGTTTAATAATCTATGAAAAAGAAAATGATGATAAACACTTCATTACTTTCAAAAACACACTAAAATAAACTTATATCGGATAACGGTAAAGAACTTTGTGCACACATAGTGATTAGTGATGATGAGCCATAAAAATTGCATGGTATAATAAGCACACTCAACGCCCCTACTTGTTGGGGGTATTCTGGGAACATCAACCCAATCCGGTCGAGCCATAAGCTGAGGCATGTGTCGTTCCTGAAGTAACCGCCAAGACCTTTACTATATGTAAACAACAAATTAATAAGAAATTAATATCTTAACAAATAAAGAATTTCATTAATAAGAAATAAATTTCTTAATACTTACTCTTTGACGAAAGTCTTCACCTTCGTTTTCTTATGCTCTCTGGTCGCCTTAACTGAGTTTAAGAAATACACTTTGTTTTCAAACAAACGTATTACAACTAACACTCAATGATGCCTACAATTGAAAAAGCGTTAGCCACTAACTTAAAATAAAAAACCAAAATACATATTGGAAATGGTTTAGAAAACATATGATATCGATAAATACAACGACATAAGTATCCAAGGTCGCAATTGATAGATCTTGAGTGCTCTATCCAGATATTGGCGATCTCCAAAATCTACCACATACGCCATGTTCTCCGGACATAACAACCCGACAGTCACGATGTCGTGCTCCATCATATGATCGTGCAACAATATAGTAATTTCACATGTAAATAATAATTACAATTATAACAAATAATTATAATTTACAATAGTAATTTATTCGTAGGTAGTGTTTGACATACCTCAAGAAAACAATGATGATGGTCTGATTGACCTCCTCCCATCGCATGAACTCACGTATATTCTCCGGACGCATCCTCAGCTCTGTCTCCTCCAGTGGACAGTTCGACCCGCTAAGGTGAATGGGTAAAGAGTTTAGTCCATCAGATCCGGGCCGGGCTAGGCCCGCTCGTGTAAATGAGTTAATAATTTGAATTAAACCTGGCCTAGATCTGACCTGAATCTTTATTTGCAGAGGTCTAACTTATGACTTCTATTTTATAACTTTTTTCAGTATCTTCCAATTCTTTCCACTTTCTTCTAACATCCATGTTTATTTTTCCAACCAAAAAATAACAGAGGCTTCATTTATTTTGTATCATACTCCGGGGTAGTTTGTTAAGCTTGATTTTTTGGTCAAATTAATTAAAATTTGATCATTATTAAAATAAAAATTGTATTGGATTTTACAAGAAAAAAATAATACCTCCAATAAATATACTCTATAGTATGCAATATAAATTCAATGTAATTAATTATTCCCTCTGTCATAAATTAAATTGTCCATTTATTATTTTCAGGCTAAAACTTTATTTACTTATTTGGTTTTTCTTTGTTAATCATATAACATAAGCATTTCACTTTTTTTGTAGAACTTTTGATGTAGATAGATATAATTTATAAATTTAAATTCTTTTAAAATTTTACCCCAATTTTCATATAAATTAAATTGAAAATAACTTCAATCAATTCTCATAAACCTAAATGAACAGTTTAAATAACGAGAGTATTTCCCCGTCTTAAAATCTTTTTCTCATTTAAGTTTACGAGGTTTGACTAAATTTATTTTTAATTTAGTTTATTTTATTTTAAGTGAAACTTAAAAATAAAATTTATATATATTCAAAGATATTTCAAAAGCTAAACACAACGAGTGCTTCTATCGTGTACCGTGGGTGCATGTCACTTTTGTAGATCTTCTCACATAAAAAGGCTTTTTTTTAAAAAAAATTAATTAAAAGAATAGAAATTTCTTTAAGTAGCAAAGAAGAGTGTTTCTATGGTGCATATTAGATGCATACTATTTTTGTGGACTTTCTCACTTAAAAAATCTTATTTTTCTATATGTGGATCTACCTTAGAATTTGTCTAACAAAACAAGAAATGACATGTCTATATTATTTTAACAAATAAATAACTAAAATATTGAATGAAAATAAATAAAATTTAACGGTATTAAGAGCATGTTTTTTAGAACCGAAAAAAGAGCTGGATTATGAAAGAAACTGGAAAAAATTAGAAGGAACTGGAAAAGTTGGAAGAAACAGGAAGAACTAGATGAAACTCGAAGAAAACTAGAAGAAACTAGAAAAAATTAAATGAAATTGAAAAAATGAGAAAAAATTGGAAAATATAAAAAAATAAAAAACATTTTTTTTGTATATTTTTATTATTCTCATTCTAATTCTTATTGTTATAAATTATTAATATTATTATTGTTGTTATTGTCATCACGTTATCTTAATGAAGGCCTTTCAAATAAAAAATATTGTTATAGCAATATAAACTTTATATGGGTGTGGATATAGCAAATATTGGTAAAAGGTGTGGATATAGCCATTTTGGGGGTGGATTTAGCAACACCCTATAAAATTAGCATAAATATTAAAATTTTAAATATTTATAAGTTATTGTGGCTACGATGCACGTCACTTTATTTATGCAATATTTATCATAAAATAATATATTTTTAATTATATTTTATATATTGAAAGATTTCGTTTTAAATATCAGACATGTCACATAATGCGATCAGTGTGAATCATAAAAATAATGAGATGAAAAAAATGAAATAATTTAGAAACTATAATTATAAACATAAAAAGTGTAATAATAATAATAATATTGTTACTATTAAGAAGGAACTGAAAAAAACTAAAAACAACTGTAAGGAAGTGGAAAACTTTGAAAAACAGAAAAAAATTGAAACTAAGAAAAAGTGTTAACTAAGAAAAAGTGTTAGGAGTTGTTTAAGCGGAGATACCCCTTACACCAAAATTTATACGGAGCCGAATCAGGTAACCCTAGTCCTAACTCCTAATAGGATTAGGATTAGGAATTCGTCTCATAATCTAACGGAGTATAATTATCCGCCCGATTTATCCCAATCTTTGGATTGTAAATGGAGAACGAGTACATCACAACCTACTTCGTCCGGGCCTTCGGGGCCAGCACCGCCGCAGAGCCGCCACCGCACAACGGCGTGGGTGTCTATTTCACCCTGTGCACCTCCCAATACGACATCGACGCCGACAAGGGACTTCCGATGAAGCAGGAATCGATCAACACCGTGTGCCGCCACCTGAACAACGAGGGCCGCTATCTCATGCTCCATGGCGTTCTGATGAAGTGGAAGCACGCCCTCGATTGCCGCACCATGCTCTCGATCACCCGGGAGGTGGTCGAAAAGGCGCGGCAACAAATTTCCCTCTGCATCCGGGTCATGATCAGAGTGAAGATACTCTCCGTCCAGATACTCGCGGACGCAGGGTGGACGAAGAGGGTACGCTGGGCCCAAGAAGAGGCGATTTCGAGGGCAAAGATGGCGTTGGTGCCGCACGAGGGCGTGCGGACGGCGATCGAGTCCGCACTGAAGAGGAAGAGGATGGGGAATTACCGGCGTTACTGTGTCATTTGCTTGGAGGAAATGGCGGCTGAGACTGCCAAGAGGATTGGGAAGAACAAGATTGATGAGATAAAGGGATGCAATCATGAAGTTGGGTACCATTTTCACCATGCCTGCATCTCCTCCTGGCTCAAGGTAAAAACTTCTTGCCCTCTCTGTCGTCGAGAAATCAAAATTGTTTGCCTCAGACGGAGGGGACGCAGCTCAGATGACAAAGAAAGACTGCAACGTTCTGGTTTGATTTCTGGTGGTAATGACAATGGAAGATCATCATCATCATCCTTAGTATGAAATCCTTGCCCAGATTGCACTCCTAGTTCATCAAATTATAACTCGGGGTTTTATGATGAGTTTCATCTTTTTTGCTACCGATATGAATTGTTTGCTCAGTTGAAGCTGTAAATGAAAAATTATTGGATGGTAAATCCAGTTAATCCAATATATAGAAGGAAATTTGACGATATTCATTCGTAATTGTGACCCTAAAATTTCATTTATTTTAATACTTTCATAATTGTTTGAATATTGCATTCTCCATAACAAAAATTTGACTGTTAATATCTATAATTATATATAAATAAATAATATGAAAAGCAACTCAATGACAAAAGAACCATTTGGAGTAATATCAGCATTCAAACTCATTGCAGCAATGTACATCCCCAAACATTTGGGAGGGACAAATGTGACAACATTAAGAGAATTGAACATACATAATCAAGAACAAAAGCCCCCATACGCATGAAACACTCTGAGAATGAGAATCAACCGTAAACAACGAACACAGATCGATCGAACCAAATGGATATCTGTAGTAGTGATAAGAGATGAATCGGATGAATGGGAGGCAGCGATTCTTCAAACATCGGGAATGGGAGTGGTAGGGCGTTTCATAGAAGCCGACTTGATCAAGTGGCTGTAACTGCCTTTCTCCTTGAACAGTTGGGAGAAGTGAGGCTTGCAATACAAGATTCCATCCAATGCCGCGTAGTTTGATGGGGTTAAAGAGCATCCGCCGTGAGAACATTTGAAGCACGACTTGTGGTAGGATTGGTTTTCAACCATCACCTGAAGTTTTAATCACAAGTTCATGTAATAAGAGAGCTTAAAAAGATGGCAAATCTACTTTAATTTGTCACACAAACAAGATATTTCCATATGTTTATATGGAGCAACCAATTCAACCAAAAGTTCAAAACAGACAATTTTGAACGGTTCATTAGGTTTGGTTCGATGATGTAAAGCTATGAAGTAGCACACAAAACAATCCATGAATTTTTGAGAATTACCATGAAAGCGTAAAAGTTTGAGAACATTTATATTTACCTTCTCCAGGGGGTAAGCTGTCTTCCCACAAGTAGCACATTTTTCTTGAGTCCCAGAGAACATTCCGGCAGCTTTGCTCAGGGACCTTGTCTGAGTGCCCAAGAAAAAAACAGATACACTATAAATATTCAAAGAACCAATAAAAAACATGCCACAAAACAGGCAATGTGTTAGCTCTGGAGGAGTTTTTAAGAACATTTACCAGCTCGGGAGTCAACTTTTCGGCAGACTTTGCAGCAGCTGAAAGTTGTAAAAGCAGACAAAATCATCAAGCACCAAAATAGAACCATTTAAATGAAATTTGTTTGTTGAGGATGTTCTCCCACATCGTAAACCCAGGGTAAAAAAAAGACTAATAGTACGGAGTATATAAGAGTACAAGTTACTCTTCCCATTGCAGATTGATTTGGATTGAAGTCTCATAATTCTACATAATCACAAAAGGGGCATAAAGGCTTACGCGAGTGAAAGTTCTTGTTGAAATTCCCTGATTCCTTGAAGAGCTGCTCAAAATGAGGCTTGCAGTAAAGAACACCTTCCATTGATGAGTAATTACTCAGCTATCAATACATCACAAGCAACCGGATCAAAATGCCAAGCAATGACTATTACATATTGGCTATTCATTCGCAAGTATTGAAGTGTCCAATATCATGGTTATGGGTCCAATCCAATAGCAGTAAAAACTTTGGGATTCACTTGGATCAACTAATATGAAAAACCCAAAATTCTGTACCCATAGGCTAGTTTGTTACTCCGTATTTCGTATCTAGTCGATGTAGACACTCTTTGACATAAAAGAGGACTGATTCTACACTATAACCATGGAAAGTCGGGCAATTGGTGATATTAATAAATGATCTTCGATCATTCAAACTCCTTGTTAGATTATAAAAACTTTCTTGAGCCCACAAACACAAGCTTGGGGTTGCGGTTTACTTGGTCCCTTACATGGTATCATAGCCTATGGTTGACTTGGAACTGGAAGTGTAGAACCAAACTTGAGCTTCTAGTTGACTTGGTTCTTGACACTCATATAACTATTTAACTATACAATCTTAGTTTTATCATTAAAAATTTAACTTTTTAGGAAGTTAAAGAAACAGGGTACCTTAAGAGTGCCCTTGCAATGGGTACATCTGAAGCAAGACTTATGATAGCTAACCCCATCAGCTGACAAAAGCTCCACAGGGTACACTGTCTTCTCGCAAGCTTTGCATTTCTGTTGAGTCCCAGTAAAAGACATCTTCTTCTTCTACCTCTTCTTGCACTGTTGTGTACCTACAATTCATCAAAAAGAAAATTCCAGATCTGACCCAAGATTCAAAACACAGAACCCAGCCGTAAAAATCCAGTCTTTACTCCGATTTCATAGTCTGATTGCCATTTTAAGCCGATTGGATGCAAGAAAAAAGGGGAAATTCCAAGTCAAGTGAGATCTCAGATTGAAAGAGGAGAAATCAAACCTTTGAAGAAAGAAAAAAGAGTATTGGGATTTGGGAGTCGTTGATCTATCTATCTATCTATCTATCTATCAGCAGCTGCAGATGAGAGTGTCTTTATGTGGTTCCAGAGACCCAAAGAATCGCTATGGGGGAATGAATAAGATTCAGCGGGAAGAATGTGAACTATAGAAATCACTGTCTGTCCGTACGTTACTGGGGGAAGTGGATGATGATGATGATGGGGAAGAAAGAAAATGGTTGCTCGGGATAAAAGTCTTCGGCTCCACTTATCTGGTCCAAATAGCACGTTGCGCCCGGCCTTTTCTGTGCCATTATTTTCACTTTAGAATATGTTTGGTACCAAAATAAAGAGTTCTTTAATTCTACTCCGTATTTAAAAAGAATATTGAAAAATAAAAAAATTATAAATTAAATAAAAGTTCCTGAATAAAATAAAAAAAATTGAAAAATTATATTAAATGTATGAATCACTATGTTAAACAAATTTCTACGTCATTTATTATAAAATTAGACGTCATCTCTAAGAATTTGAGATAATAAATAAGAAGAATTTGATTGAAAAAAACACTCCCTCCGTCCTAAAACTTTCTTCCCAGAGCACTATTCCAACTTCACGGGAATTTATATTTATTTGTGTTTTTTCATGGCCTATATGATAAAATAAAATATTCTTATCACCACTTGTTTTGTTGAACTTTTGATGTAGTTTTTAAATATGTATGTTTTATTTTTTATTTCTATACCAATATTTAAATAAAATAGATTGAAAAAACTTGAGATTTTTCTTCGTTTTGCGCAACGGGAAGAAAGTTTTAGGACGGAGGGAGTAGTACACAGACTAAATTAGTTTGATTTTGAGTACATAACCTAATTTGAACACTTTTCCATATTACATGAACCTCTAGGTACTTAGTCCAACTTATTATACATTTAATTTATTTAAGTATCCATGTAAACTTTACAAATTAAATTTATATATTTAAAAATTATATTCAATATTCTACAAAACAATAGATAGTATGAATATATCATTTAATCAATACTCCTTCTATCCATCATAGATCTTCTCAGACACTATTCACATGGTCAAACTTAATTCACTTTGTTTGTTTATTTTTACTACTTATTTCATAAAATAATATAGTGTTGTCACCTCTAGTTTTGTAGAACTTTTCATGTAGTTTATTATTACATAGATTTTATATTAAAATTTTACCCCTATATTGAAATAAATTGAATTGAAAATAAAGTTGGTAAAGCCTCGTAACGCACAATGGGAAGATCGTAGGTGGACGGAGGGAGTATTCAATAAAAATATGTATGTAAAGAAAATAGAGTTTTGCAATTGTGACTCTTAAGATACATAAAATAAACATAAATCAAAAGACGGCAGAATATTCCAAAAAAAAAAATACTCCATATATTTTGTGGTTATACGTCCATATTTTATGGTTAAAATTTATTGTTAAAAGATTTCTTTGACAAATACTCCGTATCTTTTTAAAGTGCTTTTAACTTTCAATTTTTAAGAATTGTTCTCACTCCTCAACAAAGGTATAAGAGCATTTACAATGATTCGAAATTCGCTCAGCCCCAACTCATGTCACATTAGCATTCCACTAACTTTCCATCCCGCCTCAAAATACGGTTTTGGTGACGTTGTAAATGCCCTAAAATTGTACATTTTTCAAGTTTTTAAAAACTACTAACTAAAATGAAAAATAAAAAGACCTATAATAGACAAGAGCATGCTCCAAGTTTTCAAAGTTTATCATCTTATTCATATACCACTAGCATACATCTCATCATGTGACATAAAGTCTTCAACACCTTTTTTTTAAAAAGGATCTCAAAACTAGATGGAAGCCTTAAATGTCACACTTTAAAATTAGAGAAAGAATAATAAATTAATAAAACTTTGAATTGAATTAAATAATTGATTGAAATCAACATTTTAAAATGAATTGCAACAAGAATCTTTTAACCCAAATCTAATCTGACCTCAAATGACCTTGGTGTTTTGTGGCTCCTACAATACTTCGTTGGTAAAATTGATGGTTCCTACTCTTTAAACTCTTGTGCACCTCTCTAGACCGTCGATTTAGCACTGCCAAATCGGCAATCTAGGGAGGTAGGGAGTGCTGGGGCAGGATGCACTGATCCAGGGGTTAGGGTGTAGAAACTATTAATTTTACCTACAGAGCACCATAGAAGTCTCGGGTCATTTTAAGAATCTAAGGTCACTTTAGCTCGGATCAAAAGAACTGTTGTATATGAATTAATATAAATGTTTCATAAGGTTATCGAATAAATCCATATCCAAACAAGTTTTTTTTGGAATGAGGTGAGTACCGGCATGCCTATAGAGATTTCGATGTGTGAATTATAACATATACAAGAATCAGAATTCCTATGTACTACCAAGCCAATCACAGTTCACAAACTTGTGTGTGTCTTCTTCTATAAGCATATGTATGACTGATCAATCCATTTTGTGCATGTAAACATTCAAGAAGCACCAGTAGTAGCTTTAATGAAGCTAATACTTGATATTGAAACCGGATTCGGTAGCTTGAAGACACGCGTATCGGAAGATTGGCAAGTTAGAGTATCCAAACGGCTACTAATGGCAGCCACAACATGAAACCCCGCGTCTTGCAGAGCCTTCCCTTGCATGAAGAAGTACTCCCTAGTATCCGTATCCATTTCGTGCTCCTTTCTACAATAGGACAATGGGTTAAAAAAGACAGATAGATAATCAATTGGATTCAATCTTTCAGTATGGTTTGATCCAAGTGTCTCATGACCCACTTGAGTAACTCATACCATATCCTAAATTATATCATAAACAACTTCTATAGAGTATGCATTTTGGGATCATCAAGCTTGGATTGACACATTCTTAGGTGAATGAAATTTATGTCTAGAAGAGGAGGTACCTCATAATAAGTGAAGACCAACCATGGCATTGTAATGCAAGAAGATATTCGATAGTGGCATTGCGTAATTTCTCGGGCTTTCTTGATACCAAAACCAATTTCCACCCTCACGCTACAAGTTTCTTATACAAATTTTGGACAAAAACACGTTTTGGGTATTTCGCGTAGTCTTCTGTGCAGTCAACGCAATCTTGTTCTTGTTCTTCAAAAAGATCTTCAGGGAGAAAATCCTCAACATCCATCAACACGACACCGCGACCATCTTCCGGTGGTTTGACTGTGTTGAAGTAATTCACAGCCAGCTGAAATGTGGCATTTAAGTCTTCGGCGTATTGGCCATCTCTGATGTACTGGATTGCAAAATCTTTACAGATTTGAGGCAACGAATCGGATCCCAAACCGTTTAGCTCAATGTGCATAGCAAATGCCAAGCAGTAGTGAGGATTGTAAGGGGATTCGGGCGCTTGGAGGAGACTCTCTATAGGTCCAGAGTTTTTGTTCTGGCAAGATTGTAACATTACTGTTAAGGTTACTAGAAGTGTCACTAAGGAAACCCCAACTGTCACAAGCCCAGCAATGAACACAATGGCTGCAAATGATGACATGTAAATTCCTGTCTCCATGGCAAAAAGGCTTCCCCTTTCTGCACAAATTGGTTCATGTGAGCCAAATCATATTCACAAATCACACACCATGTTCTAAAAGAAATGAAAGAATGGAGTTTGTTAGACATCAAAAAGTTTTTAGTTTTCTGGGATTTGTGATCTGAGCCCTATGGGATATTAAGCATGTAAAAAAACCAACCTGAATTTCCTCTGCTTGAAAGACTGTGAGAAGAAAATCCCCTTTCCATTAAATGGCCATATGCAGACATGATGATGATGAAGAAGAACAGATCAGACTGCCCAGAAATGGATTTCAGCTCAACTCAAAATCTGTAAAAACTCACTGTTCAATGGCAGATCCAGAGATAATAAGCCAAGATTCTTTGCAAGAAATTCCAACAAGAAACAAAGAAAGATCCAAACCCAGAAATTAAATTTGGAGTGCTGTGCAAAAGTTTTAAACTTTTCTGCATCATTTATTGTTCCTATGAAGCGGAAAAAACTCACAAAATCTTTTCGTTAAATTCGTTCCAAATTAAGAATCGGGTCCACATGTTGTGATCCGAAAAAGGATGGCAAATAAATGGCATGGCAACCCACAGCAATTCACTAAAATAAAATATAACCCTGCAGAAATATACTTCCAGAAGAAATCTTCACCGGAAAATTGATAAAACAAATCCAAGGTTTCATTTTTTATATAAAAAAAGAGGTCAATCATCAAGGAATATAACAAAATGCAAGAAAATATTGGGGTGTCCGGGTTACCTTTCTACAGTGTAGCCAAAATGGTGATGAAGAGAGTAGTGAGAGAGTTGAGGAATTTAAAAACTTCAAATCAAAAAGAGGCAAAAAGGAATGGGAAAGGACAGTCTTCCAAGTTCCATGGACAGCTAGCACGTGCCTCGTTCATAGTATTCCTTTTTGAAAAAATGGGTTACACAAAAAAGGTGTACCCCATTTGTCCCCCACCTCCTCCATTACCACAAAAATAAGCAAAATATTTTTAAAAAATTAAATAAATAAAAATGGGGTAAAAATGAGTGGTGGAGAAAGTGGTGGGGGACAAATGGGGTACACCAAGGTGTACCCCTAGCATTGCTCTTCCTTTCTTAGCCTTCACAATATGATTTCTCGTTATTGGTTTGGATGAAGTTATTTGTACCTCAAGATTTCTACTTTATTTTATACATCACAGGAATAAATTACTCCCTTCGTTCTCAAAAACACTTCTTCTTTTATTTTTTCCACTTCTAACAAAACACTTCCCTTTTCTATTAAAAAACCACTTTTACCCTTACTTTTTCATACCCTACCTATCACATCATACTTTTTCTCTAATAATCTATCCATCACATCTTACTTTTACCCATCACATCAGGGGCAAAATTGGAAATCAACTATAATTTAACACTTCCTTATTTTTGTCCCAAATCAAAATGGGAAGGGTTTTTCCAAACGGAGGGAGTAACATTTTTTGTTTGTGTAATGCTAATTTTTGTTAATGCATTAACGCTTTGTGTCAATGCAAATTTTTGTTAACGCACCAACATTTTCTGTCAGTGTAAACCATCAAAATGTTAGTGTATACCTTTGGTATATAAATGAGGTACAAATTGTGGAGTACATGTAGCATGCTCCTATTCATTTTGTATATGATATGTAGGGAATAAATAAGGAAAATGCTAGGGTACACCTT